AGTAAGTTCTTCAAAAGCTGTTCTACACTTGAGGACGGCCTCAGATTTGATGGCTTTAAGAGCCACTTGACTATCAACAAAGTTAGTGACCGGGTCAACGATCTCTGCCTCCAGACTTTTTATAAATTCCGCTGCCTTCCAAATCGCGATGATTTTAGCTTGGAAAACACTACAGTTGCAATCCAGACTGTAGGTTAACTCAAGGCATAGCCTTACACAGTAGACGCCAGCCCCTGTACCTTCTTCCATCCGTCCAGAGGAGGGTTACTCCGGTTCCAGTCGTCTCCACTAGGAATAACGACATCTACAACGTGAAATCTCAGGACTGGATATATATAATCGCTTTGTTTTACGCGTTGGACCAATGTCATACCTGATTCGTTCAAGATACAACCATGCCCAAAGGCACAACTTCGCCAAAGATTTTGTTTATGCAGCCTTAGGGTACTACGCGCGGCCTGACACTTACAGATCTTAGACCCAGAGGCCTTAAATTCAGCATTGCATTCAGAGCTGCTTGTGGCGTGCTCCTCATGGCTCCTGTTTTTAGAATCGAGGCGTCTTTTTGTATACCTTATCATGTTTGGTGGATGTTGACATATGGCGCAGCAGTGCCACCAAACAAGAGAACCAATTGAAAGGATGGGCCTTACCACGGTGTTATACAACCAGTGTATAGTCGATGGATTTAGACCCGAACTTTTCCCAATGGAATTCTTGCATGCGAAAGTAAAAAAATATCGTAATAATCAGGAACCCTAGAGCCCTTAACTAAACTGAAGTCCAAAATCAATTTAACCTCAGTTAAACGATGGAGGGTATAAAAATAACATCGAAATTCGACGACGGGTCGGTCGTGCGTCTTATCAATGGCGCAGTAGCATTGCATTTCAAAATTGTTTTATTTATTTTTTTTCTACTCTACTCTCCATTGTCTCTTTGTTATTGTTTTGTCGGCATATTTATCAATATTTGTTATTTTCTCTTTTATTTTGTTTGTGCTTGCTATTGTTTGCATAGTGTATCAGCGCATATTGAGAATTTGTCGCGCCACCAAATAACAAAAATAATAACAATGGTGCTTGTGGTGGAATATCAACATCATTGCTAACGATGGCCAAGAGGAGGGAGGCTATTGCCTCGAGAGTGCTCGAGTTTCTTTACCTTACCAATCATCGTTGTTTGTTGTTATTATTGCATTTTTGTTTTTGAAACTATACTATAATATTGTGCAATGTAATGCATTTTTTATTCGTTTTTTTTTTTTGTTTCTATTTATCTTTGTTTGATTTTGAGTTTTCATTTGTCATCATTATATTTTGATTCATTATTATTTGGGTTTATTTATTTTCTTTTCTTTTTTGGTATTTTGATTAGTTTTGAGATAGGGAAAATCGTCTCTCTCTCTCTCTCTCTCTCTAAAAATTATTCTAAAATTCATTTTTTTTTTTGTTTTTTTTCTTTTCTTCAAATAAAATAACCACTTGTTCTTCAAATTTGTCAAACATCCATGGTTCAAAGTGTTTTCTTTGTTCTAGTTTTTTTCGTTATTTTTTTCTCATGAATTTGTTGTTTTATTTTAATTGGGTCACAACTCTTTTTTTATTATTACTGGGAAATTCTTAAGGTAAAGCTAATGATAGCTTTTTATATTAAAAAAGAACTGTTTGTGACTCAGTGTTGAAGAAAGTTATTTAGCTTATCACTATTTTTGTCTGATTTTCGATAGTGTCCACCATAAATTAACCCCGTTGTAATTGGAAAAATGTGTAAGTCAATTTTCTTAAAAAAAATAATTTTACGAAAAATAGTTATTTTTAAATTTTGAATTTTTTGCAGAAGAAGTATTATTTTGGTATTCAAAAAACGATCCGATGTATATTTTATAATAAAGAGAACGATATACCCTGGACAGTCCTAATATTGCGGTGCTGATTTAATGCTGGGCTGTGAATAGACGCCATCATTCAAATGGCCCCAAAGTAAGGTGTTCAATTAGAAATTTCGGTCGCCAAACCCTCAAATCTTTTAGAGAAATGGCGCGGAATCATTGCAACAATTAAGTTTGTTGACGTAGCCAATTTCGTCCAAATGACAATGGGTTTCATCAGTCAAGATGAGTTACCATTAGCAAACATACAAGAATTTTGCATAAACAAATCGGAATGGGGCTGGCCTATGCTCTCTATAGACTTTCAAATTCTATCGTTTACATCTAACATTAGTCTTAAAACAATTATTGACATTTTTGACAGTTTTCATAGACCACTACGTCTTTCACATGGCCCAATAAAAATATGAAGTCTTAAGATTGAAACCCCATAAGGAAATGAAATCACGGTCCACTCTTCGATAAATTACACGGTACGGAACAGTGTTGCCTTTTGAAAATCAGAACAAAATGTACGGAAAAAGAGACCAACATCAGATGTTCGGGCCAAAATTGAAAATTCTAGCTCTCAACTAAAGGCTTTCGAATCAGTTTGAATTATGAACGAACCATAAGTGGTCGCCATGGAATAGCAGAAAGGTAGATGCTGTTTAACCCACTATAGCGGAACTCCCTGTTTCACTCTACAGGTCTTTGACTTTGCTGGAAGATAGTTCAACGACATCCTCAAGCGCCACAATAGGTGTGATATCACACGGCCCGTTCTGGCAAATATATGCCCAAAAATGGCCTACAAAGCCATGCTAAGCCACAGACGTGGGAATGGGCCTCCGGAACATTTTCCTGCATTTCAAGTACTCAATCAGCAAAGACACGGCAGTGTTAATGATAGACTTATTTGAGATCTTGTGTTAGCTGATTTTAAGCCTTAGACCCAAGTCTTTATGCCAAATACGGTGTATTGGGATGTCCTGGGAATGTCCAACTCAAAAAAACCTACGTGGAATGGAAAAAACCATAGTTTTCTTCATCATCATCATGCGGTAGTCTTACCGCAGAAATATACTGGTTTTTTTCTTAACGTCATTTGAATTTTTACACCAAACGTAGGCAGGATACCTATGTACAGAGCCACCAATGGCTTTTTAAAAATTTTATAGCGAATTTTAAAGCTTTCAATAATTTTTGCTCAGGACTGTCGTTTTTATACCCTAAGCCTCATGGTGGCTATTGAGGAGGGTATATACACTTTGATGCGGCAAAAATGTGCCTCATCGAAATATTGGTTTTAGACCCCATGTTTCTTTGGGCCTAATTTGTTTTATACAATTTCGAAGCGATTTATGTTGTTGTTGTTAGCAGTCCTATTGCTATAACACAATGGGCTGAGGTGACATAGATGTCTGTCCCTCTGGCCGGCTAGTGTGCGCAATTCCACTCGAAGGGCACAATTGATTTCATTCGATCTTGGCACATAATATTTATTCGAAACATAGATCAAGTTCCAAAATGGAGGATATCGGTCCACTCCTTCTAGTGCATGTTCCACAAAGGGCTTAAATTTTTGAAGCGAACCGAATATCCAGTTTCATCAAAATTTTCCACAACGTAATATTTTTACCATACTTAGATTTTGTCCGAAAGTCGGACCCGTCGGTCTACTCTATGTGTAATTACGTAATTTTGCAAATCATAGGCTACCCTCAGCCTATGATAACTGTATGTATACATCGCGTTAAGCGAAATTTAGCAGGCGATGAAATCAACCGCCAGTATTTTATAATGTTGACCTATGGAAATTCTTATTAAAAGTGGAGATACAGGCTTTATTAAGTTCTAACGGTATAACATCAAATCAAAAATTCTCAAAAGCGACCGCTATCGAAATATCGTTTAACAGAGCTATTATGTTTATAAACCGAGTTTCTACTGTAAATCAACACTGAACTTTGTAGCTACTATATATCGAAACTGCGCCAACATACATTACCCTCAATTGTTGGTGTGGGTACATTTTTTTGTGTGTGGCTATGAATGGTTTTGGATTTCCAATTGTCTAGATACCACATTATAGCTACAAAAACATAGTAACGATAAACGCCAGGTGGTAAGTAGGAAAGAAGAAAGGAAAGTAGTAGGTAGTAGCCCAGCAACAGAGATTATCATCTGGTGCGACGACAACGACAACAATGACAAGGCTAGGCCGCCAACAATTCAAATATACAACAATACTGTACACATTTCGAAAAAAAAACTCAGTTATTTAATTATTTTATATAAAGTTGACGATGACTACGATTCAGTATTGTCGTTCTACTACTCTTAAATTCAATGTGTTTCGCTATGAGCGGGCCATGTCGAACCGCTTGAATCTCAAGAGAGAAAAATCGTATTGAAACAAACCGAAACGCCTACAACATTTTTAAGTTTTCTGTGCTTTTATGCTTTTTTTTAATCTTCGGCTTGACTTGCTTTACAAAGGCAATGAAATGCTGTCTGGTTATTTCAGTTTGATTTCTTTTTTGCTTGATATGAACAGATTGTTATCTCTGTAATGAGTGTATAATTATTTAAATCCGAATATAAGCCACAAAGCCAAATTACTCAAATACAACTTGAACATCAAATGCTTTTATAGAAGTTTTAGAAATTTCAGTAAAATAAAAAAAACTAAGTAAAACATTTTCTCTAAAATTTTCTTTGTTCTTCTTATTTGTCGTTACAGGTTTTTTTTATTCAAACAACACCAGCAGCAACCTACCCGCAGAGACATTAACTTGAAAGAAGAAAAATAAACAAACATAAATAAATTACGGAAATAATTAACGCAATTCTACTCTACACATATAAAAGAAAGAAGAAGAAGCAGAAAATCTCACATCTGTAAAATTTACACAAGGTGTAGGAGTGTATAGAAGTTATATACATAAAAATATTTGTTGCGTGAAATTCATAGAGGAAAAACAAAAACAATTCAGCTTTAACCACCATATTCTTCATAATCATCCAACCTCAAGTTTCTAAGTTTTTTTGAAATAACCTTTTCAAAGAAAAAAAAAAAAAAGAAAACGAAACCCTATAGAAGAATAAACCCCTCTCCAAGAAGAAGTAATACACGCAGATATTATTTTCATTTACCGTCAACGGGACATGTCATGTCAGCAAGCATCAAGATTCATAACAACAACAAACAGCAACACTACCATTGCCGTCAACAACAGCACCAACAACAAACAACTCAGTTCAACTAACATTAACAACAGCAACAATATAACAAGAATTGTTGCAGCCGAAGATCCGTATGTGTTCACAGAATCAGTGCCAACCACACCACCCATTTTATTTAATACTCAGGTAATTGAAATAAATATGATTTGTTTTACCATACACAACTAGGTTGTTGTCAGGGTATTATAGATTTGTATGCCCCCAGGAGTTTGTAACGCCGCCAAATATTGGTCGCAGACCCATCATTTAGTATAAAGAGCGTCATATCTCTACTAGTTGAGTCGATCTAGACAAATGTGTGCATCCGTCCATTAAAATTTGTAAACACTCTACTCGCCTCAATTATGAACCATTCGTCACGAAATTTTGCACTAATGTTCGGTCCGGGCCCCTATTGTTTTTGGTAATGATTGTTTTATATTAAGGGGATGAAATGGACCAAAAACTGCTATAGAGGCCGCAATTAAGACCCGATTATTATGAAATTGTACATGGGGAAAGTGATTGTACCAAGGAACAATCACTTTTAATGACATATGGACCCAAACTTTTGAGTGAAAATGACAAAATTTGTATTCTAATGCATATACATTTGCTCCTGGAGACCATAGACTTAGAATATGACAGTATGAATATGACAGTATGAATATGACAGACATAGAATATGACAGTATATCCAGGAGGAGTAAATTTACACCAATTATGTTTATGTATTTAAAGGGATGTATTTAAAGGGATATACATATTCTGATATTGTTTAGTATTCCCATTTCCACACTAGGGGACATAAATATACATCTGATTGCTGTGGAATTTTACATGCAGTTCCGGTTATGGACAACATCTATTGTTGTTGTTGTAGCAGGTAGTACTGTTGTGTATTTCTTCTTATTCTCTTCAATCTGGTTCTGCTTCTAACTCCAAGTTCAGGAAGGCTGCGACCTGTATCGCTTGAGTCCAAAGAGAAGGTGGGGTTAGGTGAGTGGGTTTGGCTGGACAGTGGGGCAGCGTGTCATGTGGTCCATTACCACATTCCGGGCAGATATTACCGACCTCTCCATCAATTCGTGCCCGATATGAATTGAGGCGGCTATACATCATCCTGATCTTAATTGTGCCAAGACCACTCTGGTTTCGAGATAGCTGCTGCTCTTCTGCAGCTATCGTAGGCGGGTGTTCTCCGAGGATTGTATTCATACGATGTTTTCGAATTGCTTCCTCAACTGCATCCGTGTGATTAGGAATACTGCTTGATAGACCTGTTGATCTAGAAGATCCTTCCTGACATGCCTAGGTGGTGGGTGCCTATCCATTAGGTAACGATTTGGATGGCTACTTCTATAACACAGAAGCAGGTATTGCATCGACAATATCTTGTGTTGACGCACTGGAAGGATCTTCGCCTCATCATGTAAGTGGTCTATTGGAGTCATGAGGAGAGACCCTGTTGCAGTCCTCAGGGCGGAATTCTGGCAGGATTGAAGACTTTTCCACTGCGTTGCACTGACGTTAGCGGACCACACTGACGCCGCATTGTTTACCACAGACCGGCACATTGTTGTGTATGTCGTTAACAAGGTTTCTTTGTTTAGCCCCCAAGTGCTGCCGGCCAGAGAGGCAGAGATTAAACAGTTCCGGAGATATCACCCCTTCTTGGGGAACTCCATGTTTAACTCTACGGACCATCGACTTCCTGTCTCTGAATTCCACGTACACATATAGTTCACGACCCAACGTTTCAAACTTGGCTGGAGGACGTCGAGAGAACAACTCTCCATTTGACTGTCCATTTGTCCAGCAATGTGGCGGATGATTTCGTGACATATTCCTCACGTACAAACACTCTTCGATGGCACGGTCTGTTCTTGTGTAATCATCAATTTTAACGCTTTTTCGCTTGTTTTTAATTCATTTTTTTAATCGTTCACAGAATGCGTATTTTTTACATAATTTTTTGGTATGGATTAACAGAAGACGTTGCTTTCTATCTGGAACTTTTTTCAAGAATATTTGTAGGACTCTTTGAATAATTTGGTAACCGATATTTTCAGGGACACCAAATAAGTGACCATTGACATGCACTTTCTGGGACATATCACCCTAAGGATAGAAGATAGATAAGATAAAATTAGGTATCATCTTGAGACCAGCAGGAATATATATATATATATATATATATATATCGGTAGAAGCTGTAATTATGTCAGGAATTTCCCTGACTAAAGATATGGAAAGTTATCTGAAGCGAAACCCTGCCAGTTGGCTTTTCCATGATTTAAAAAAGTGCGGCGTCGGAAAGGGTTGCACGATATCTGGAGATTTCCAAATGTCGATCCTTACGTTCGGTATTTTATATTCAATTCTAGCTCCATTTTCATTCAACCGATTAGCTATACAAATTCATATTAAAATGATAAAATATTTCCTGGCATAGACCCTATTTTCGGTATGTTGAAAATCATTTCGTTGTTAAAGATCAGGATTTACTATCACATATCATAACATTTAAATAAGGATTTCAATCGATTCTTGGAGGTTATAAATCCATCCAAACCCATAGAGGATTTTAATTGTCTTTACTTGTTTTAAAATGAAATATTGAAAATATGCTTGATATGGTGTGGGGGGAGGGATTACAAAACCATATGTGAATGTTATTTTGTCTTAAGTATTCTTCTAAACGTTTAATTTTCATTTAAAAATATATTTTGTTTTACATTTCACGTTACTGCTTTCTCCTACATTTGCTGGAGTTGATTGCATTATTGTTAAGGTCATTTGCCTTGTAAATGCAATAATTGTTTTTTTTTATTTAAGATTTAGGTCAACAACACATTTGACTTTTGTTTAAACAGCATTGACATGTTGGAATTTTGTGAAACAAGTTTCAATTTCAATCAAATATGAATGACGCACATGCGGCACAGGATTACATTTTTTAAATATAATTTAATAAAATGGGATTGTTAAATATTGTAAATTAAGCACATGGAGAATTATACAGGTCATGATGGTTTATTAGGACATTGATCATTTTTTTAAGCTAAATTAAAATTAAAATTTTTTCAAATATATTTTATAACGTTTACACTCAAAAATCATGGATTTATTCGTTCAGTTTAGTTTAATTAATTTATTTCCAAAAAAACTATTTGAAACCACAAAAACCTACAACATTTTGAAAATAATTCAATTTATATTAATAAAAAAATTCCGTGGTTATCATTTTCTACGCATCTACTTTATCATGCACCGTTTTTTGTTCTTTTTTCTTCAATTTTTTTTAGCCATTACTTCGTAGCGTCGTCATGCAGTTTCTTGATATGACTTGACTTAATTTATTTAAAGTCAAATAAATAAAACTACTCTTTAATTGTAGTGGTGGGAAATAAGATGCTAAGGTAAGGTTTTTTTGCGGTACAAGATCGTGTACCATATGGAGGAAGGGCGAGCGAGGAGGACAGTAATAATAGTTATGAATGAATTTTCTATTACTTCCTCCAATTTGGACGCCAAATTGTGTCCACAATTGTTTTTCTTTAATTAAATTAAAAATGAATTTGAAGTCCATAACAGGTTTAATCGAAATTTATATTTTTTCAATTTATTTTTAATTCTATTTTTTAATCTTATCCATTGCAAATCTATTTTCTTTTAGAAGTCTCGTTCCCGGTTAAGTGAAATAATCTCGGGAACAACAACATTTAGCCTAGCAGCTAACGTACAGCCTCAGTTACAACAACAGCAAATAACAACAACACAAACAAATGGCAAGTTAGCAGCCATTAAGACGCAGGCGTCTTATGATAAAAAATCTGCATCTCTGAAAAATGTCAGCAACCAGTCTTTGGCCAACGGCAAGGCATCATCAGCGACGACAACAGCCACAACAACAACACTCAATAAAAAAGTAACAAATGTGTGTATTGTTAGGCCACAATTGCAACAGCAACAACCACCACCACCACTACAGCATGTGATTAACTCCTCTTGCCCGGGGTTAGACGATGATTTGAAATCTATATCTCCGCCACCGTTATATACACCGCCAACACCCTCATTATGGCAAACACCGCTCTTGATAGAAGCTGCTCCTGTGGCAGTGCCAACCCCACCACCACCAACATCAGCCACAACTGCATTGACAACTTCAAGCTGTGGTGGTGGTGCAACACCAAATGCTGCAGGGGGAGGTGTTGGCCTAAGCACAAGTACCACCGGTGGAGGAGGCAACACCTCAACGACGGTTATGGCCAAAGTAGCTCCAATTGTGGTGCAACAAAATTCAACGGCGCCACCAACAACAACAACCACGACTCCCTCTTGTTTGCCTCCATCGAAATTCCACAATCACACAATGGCCCAACATTTGCAAAAGCTAGAATGTTTGAAGAAACCAAAAAAGTCTGTCACGCCAACGGTGGTGACGTCGTCGTCGCCGCTGTCAAATCCCCCACCGTCGTCGCTACCCTTTGGCGAGGATTTGTTGAAGAGCAAAGTCGTCTCATCAGCCTTTGTAGAGCCCTTGCTGCTGGTCGATGGTGGTGGTGACAACCTAAAGTCCGGCAAACATTCCGATAATGAAGAATTAAATGAAATTCCGGTTAATGTTATCTTTCGTATGGCCGTAATGCCGCCCCAGCAACAGCCAGACGAACAAAAGAATGATAACCACCAGCAGCAACGTAAGAAACAAAATAAAATCACAACACCCGCCAATAACAGATTAACAACAAAATCTTCATTGTCAATAACAACAACGAATACAGCAACAACAACGCCACCACCTCCTTCTCAAAATAAAATGATCAATCGGAATCGTTTAGCAGCAGCAGCATCAGCCACAGGATCAAAAAATACACCCGCCTCGGAAATTCATCATACACAAATCAATACGTCTTCCAAACAGCAGCAACAGCAACCACCTCAACAATCACAACAACAAGTGCGAGTTGCGGATTATCCTGTTCTTGAAACTCCAAATGCAACTCCCATTGTTGAGAATACAGAAGAACAAAGTATTCCCGTTGCTAGGCCATCACCACCACTACCAACCTCAGCAACAATTTCAAAATCAAAAAATTCGAATACAAAACCACAGAATTCCGCCGTCCGCAAATCATCCGTGAATAACACCTTCCACTATTCTCAAAGTCATGTGGACACCTATACGAGTGGAGGCTGTTCCACCACAGCCAAAGATGCTGTGGCCATTGTTCGTTTATCTCATCATCCCAATGAAGATCCTACCGCTATGGATATATCACATTTGGCCACAGCAACGGGGTTGCCGTATTGCCTACAACATTATTGGTTTAATGCCTATGAATTCCGCAAATCCTCGTTTAAGGGGTGTGGCAAGAAATTAAATCGTTCCGCTTTAAGGGAGGAACGTATAGCCTGCTACCGGCAACAATTACAGCGACAGGCTATACAATTACTATCGACGAGATCTCTGCAGAAAATACCCTTATCGGCAGCCCGTCGACGTCTAATATGTGTCGATCGTCTACTGAGGAAATACTATAAACAAAATGGCAGGGGGTAAGTACGGCAAAATTTCATCTTTTTAAGATTCAAACTAATATTTTATTTTCCTTCTTCCTCTCTAAAAAATAGTCTCTCTGCTGCTGCCAATGTGCTGAAGCAATGCACCTTTACTGGCTGCGAGGCCAATGCATTGGAAATGGCCACACACTGCCAAAAACATATCGTCCTGAGTGCCGGCAAGGAGTTATTCTTACCCTGTACAGCGAAATTTGCCGATAACACACAATGTCGTGTACCAGTATTTGATATAACACACGATTTACCATTGTGTCTGGAGCATGCCAGGAAACGTGATGCCTATAATCGTCTGTTGTATGAGCAGCGGCCACGTAAACTTAGCGCAGCAACAGCAGCAGCACCCATTACTACAACATCAGCGGCGGCATCATCCATGTTTATACCTAAAAATTTGGTGGGCAAACAAAGTTACAAGCAACAACAACGATCACCCTCCTCCACAACTGTTGTCATCGGGCAACAGCAGCAAACACCAAGCATACGTAAACGTAAACAAACTGGTAATCCTGTTGGTAGGCCACAAAAGCGGGCCAAGAAAATGCCAGAAACAACAACCAGCATCCAAGCGGCAAATGCTGCTGTCATACACCCAACAACATCCACCAATACCGCCACCCACACCACAAATCAATTGCCAGCACGTTTGCCAGCTTTACGGCGCAAAGGCAGTACCACCTCGCTGGAGTCCATAGCCAGCAATTCACAACATTCAACAACGTCCAATACCTCGCAAACAACAGCAACAACACCCCAACAGTTCTATTCCATGACCAACAATTCATTTGCAAATCAACAACAGCCCTCATTGCCACCACCAGCATTGGCTCCTCTCAGCAGCAATGGTGTGTTTATGGCCAATAATAGTTGTTTACCACAACATTTGTTTAGTTTTGGTCATGACACCACTACTACTACACATGGTCAAATGAATAAACATTCCTCATCGTTAGTTAGCAACAACAACAGCAGCACATCCGCCATTTCACCGACAACCGAATTCAAGGATTTCATATCCAGTTTAACTACTTTTACATCATCGTCATCTTCTTCCAACCAACAAAATAAAATGCCAACCACCAGCGCAACCACATTTTTAGAATCTACCGATCCCATGTCAATGAATACAAATTCCAATTCCAATTTCACTTCGTCCGGTATGGGCTCAACAACATCATTACCCACTGCTGCTGATGATTTTCTCAGTATATGTGAGAATAGTTCAGCCAGTTCGGTTGACACTGGTTTGGGTGGTCTAAGTGATCGCGAATTGATGATAGCTGGTCCAGATGGTTAGTATATTATTGTGTTTCTTTCATATCACCCTGCAAATAATTTGGCTGATTTTGTTTCTTGTTTGTTTGTTTCACCTTGTAGATGATATACCCTTGGGCGATACCCATTTGCTGGAAGAAAACGATTTGGCAAATGTTTTGAACTCGCTGCCAGAGGATGCATTTAAGGAGCTCTTTGCAACAGGTAAATATTTGTTTGAAAAATATTGAAATTTGAGTTTAGGCGGGGATGTGTGGAAATCAATTTTTTTAATATATAGAAGGGTATTAAACAAAGTTCAGGTCGCATTCATCATCCGATTTGGATGAAATTTGGCACAGCTCATTTGTTTGGCCCAAGGACGAACCTTATTGAAGTTGGGAAAAATCGGTTCAGATTTCGATATTGCTCTCATATATATATTCGTCCGATTTAATATAAATGGTGAACCAAGCCTCATTCGATTTGTACGAAATTTGGCATAGAGTACTTAATTAGGCCTAGAATGATATAGCTCCCATATATATTTTCTTCCAATTTAAGGTAAATGGTGCATCAAAGTCCCTAAATATCTTTCGAATTGCAAGAAATTTGGTCTAGTAGTCTAGTAAGATGTGTGCTAAGTTTCGTGGAAATCGGTTCAGATTTAGATATAGCTCCCATATATATTTTCGTGCGATTTAAGGTAAATTGTGCTCCAAAGTCCCTAAATATCTTTCAATTTGCACGAAATTTGACACAGCGTACTGAATTAGGCCTAGAATGACGTAGGTGAAGTTTCGTGGAAATCGGTCCTGATGTAGATATAGCTTCCATATATATTTTAGTCCGATTTAATGTAAATGGTGAACCAAAGCCCCTATATATATTTCGATTTGCACGACATTTTGTATATCGCACTGAATTAAGTCTAGAATGATGTGTGTTAAGTTTAGTGAATATTGGTTCAGTTTTAGATATTGCTCGCATATATATTTTCGTCCGATCTAAGGTAAATGGTGTGCCAAAGTCCCTAAACATTTTTCGTTCAATTTCATATCAATGTTCTTTCGAAAAGACGACGTATGTTAGGAGATTATGTAGAATATACCCAAAGTGGTGAATAGTGTCATATAAACGGCCCAGTCCGACTTTACTACTTTCCTTACTGGTTTTTGATAACTTTGTCTGTGGGATTTTTTGTTATGGTTTTCCAGTAGACATTTTTTAACATATTTTTTTCAATGGGAACATATATGACCCTGTTGTTGCTAGTACCATCTGATAAAAAAATTTCACTTTATCTTTTCAGTCCATCAAGATGAAAGCGATGAAATTGAACGAGCCATCGAACTTGCCGATAAACATTTGAAAACCCTGCAGCAAACCATTAGCTCTGAATTGGGTGATTTTCTTGATTTTAGCGATGATATGCTGATGGACAATGGTGATCTCTGCAGTGCTGAGGGTGTTACAGCTGTGCCTCATCCTGGCATGCTAGATGCGGCATCATTTTTTGTGGGCACAAATGCTCCAGGTGTCGTTGGTGGAATACCGACAAATTGTATTGGAGGTAGTGGTGGTGTTGGTATTGGTGGGAATGGTGTTGTGTTGGGCAGTGGTGGCCCAACAAACTCTCTTAATGATATAAGAGGTTTAGTGCAGACGTAAACATGAAATGTCATGAACACAACAACAAACAAGTAAAGGGGAGTTATAGTTTCCCACATAACGTAATTGTTGTTGTTGTGCGGCAGGTTTGCTCCACATTAACGGAAAAAGGTTAGAGAAAGAATTTCTAACTTGGAATCTTTTTCATAAGTATACAAAATAAAGAAATTAATTTTAAATTGTATTCGAAATAATTTTAATTCTGTAATTCTTCTTCTAAGAAAATTTTAAATTATATATATCCAGAAATTATTCTGTACATAGTTTTAAATGTAATTTTAAAGATTTTTTTATTTTTGAAATTAAAAAAAAAAACTTATTTAGAATTCAAAATTTATATATTGGCTGGTCTAAAAGGAAATACACGATTGATTTTTTTTATTCTAATTTCATTACGAAAATGAATTTCATTCTCGAAAATTCTTTGTATACATTAAAAAAAAAATATTCAAATAGAAAAAAATACTTCGAATTACATTTGAAAATTATGTATTATTTATTTCTAAGTTAATTATAAAATAATACAACAACAAAATAATGTGAAAATGTGTGTATTTGCTTTAAAATCGTAAAGCAAAAAAAAAAAAAAAATAAATTACTGTAAAATATGTATTTTTTCTGTTCAAAACGCTTAACTTTTTTCAATATTTTTAATATATATGTAATTATTATGCTAATTTTTTAATTTATAAGAAAGAAATCTTAATGTTTTTGAAAACAGAAAATAAAACCTAAATGAAATTTAAGGCTTGAATGTTAAAAAAAAATTAAAATAAAACAAAAAAGAAACCGCTTTTATTTTATAAAAAGATTTATATGGAATTATTTTATAAAAATATATTTAGAATTTTTTAATTGTTTTTTTTTTTTAATTTAACGAAATTTAGGCTTTGCTCAAAATTTTTATTTTTTTTATTTTTTTTTTCGTTTTAGGGTTTCAAAATATTTTTTTAAAATTATATACATATTAAAAATAAAAAAAAAAACAGAAAAAGGCTATTTAACATTAAACTAATATAAAAACAACAACACACAACAAAAAATATTCCAACAATTAATGAAAAACAAAATATGTATTAAAAAAATTAATAAAAATTTAAAACAAAAAAGTTTTTAAAACTTGTCCAAAAAAATCTAATAAATTTTAAATATTCAAAATTAATTACCAATCATCAAATTTCAGGGTTTGGAATTTTTTCTTTTTGAAAAAAAAAATATATATTTTTTATAATTTAAAAAACCTACATATTTATATTTTAAATTGAATACCAAACCCATTAATATTTTTTAAGATTTTTTTATTTTAATTATTTTTTAATGTAACCGTTTTCTTTTTATTTTTAATTTTCATTTTTTTATTTTGTAATAATAAAAGTAGTAGTTGTAGTATTAATTTGTACTACTTATCAACCACACTATTTACAAGGGATTTATATTAAAATATTTTTTCGTATATATATAAAAAAATTATTTAAAGAATATGTTTAGATTATAATTTTCAATTTTTGTCAAACACACCGCTTATTGTATTAATTGGATTGAATCTAATTAAATTTAAAAAAGAAAACAAAAAAACAAGAAAAGAAACGAAAATATATTTTATTCCTAGGAAACACTTTTAGTTTAAATGCTATTTGTTGTTTTATTTCAATTAATTTTTCATCGGGGTAAAGGAAATAGAAAATGGGAACATTTATTTTTTTCGGTTTAAATTCAACTTATTTGATTGGAAAGAGGGAAGCCAGGATAGGAGTATACAAGTCAAGTCAGATATCCAATATATGGGCGTCAACCGATTATAGGCAATTTGAGTGGCCACCTTGTGGTTATAAAAAAAATCAGTCCAGTCGAACTCAACATTTGTTTATATATATACGTTTTCAAGGAGTAATAGACTATTAGTATACTATTAGTATACTTTCATATCAAAATTTCTTGTGGTGTGTGTCTTTATTTTAATAGTGGATTTAAAATAAATATTTTTAGATTTTTTAAAATATTTTTTTTCTGATTTACATATCTTCTTCTTAGCTGGCTCGTGACATAACTTTCATTCCATAAGCCGAGCTTAAAAAAGATTTCCAGGCGCGTCGGTCTTTTGCGCATTTTTTCCAATTTGAAAGACCATATTCGGCAATGTTGTCTTCCACTTGGTCTTTCCATCTTATTCGTGGCCTTCCCCTTCTGCGTGAGCCATCAGCTGGTTCGCTTTTATATGCGTTTTGGGCTGTGGCATCTTCATCCATTCTCACAACATGACCTAGCCAACGTAGTCGCTGGTTCATTCGACGCCGATATTCACCGTCAACGCAGATTGGACCATAGATCTTTCGGAAAATTTTTCTTTCGAACACCCCTAGAGCTGCCTCATCTGCTTGCGTAAGTACCCATGCTTCAGATCCATATAACAGCACGGATAATATCACTTGTAGAGTGTGAGTTTGGTCTGGCGGGACGTGGCCTTGCGCGTTTTTTGATACCATAGCTTGGCCCATCACAATCCTTCTCCGAACTGGACGTATACTGATCCATCATCAACTTTGCCATTTATTGCCAGACGCACTTTGGCAGACTCCATCTCAATTTGTTCAAAGGTGGGTGTTACCGCACGCAATGTTTGACCCATTATATCGATGTCATCGGCGTAGGCGAGTAACATGTGTTGTTTGATGTACAGAGTGCCATTTCTGTTCACCTTTGCGTCTCGTATGACCTTTTCCAGCAGGATGTTAAAAAGATCACACGACAAAGTTAAAGTTATCCTGCACAGCCGAATTAATTTTGCAGGAATGCCAAACGCAGACATGGCTTTAAACACCTCTAAACGGATAGGCTGTCAAATGCGGCTTTATAGTCGACGAATAAGTGTCGATGTGTTTTTTTGGCTCTTTTGCAGGATATGGCGCAGAGTGAAAATTTGGTCAATGGGTCTGAAGCCGCATTGGAAAGGTCCAATAACGTAATTGACCATTGGCTGCAGTCGTTCACACAGCACGCTGGATAGTACTTTATACGCCATGGAAAGGAGACTTATTCATCTATAGTTGGCGCATATGGTCTTGTCTTCTTTTTTGTGCACGGGACACAGGATGCTGAGGTTTCAATCATTGGGCATGTATTCCTCTAGCCAAATTGTACTAATCAGCTGGTGCTTGCTCCTTACCAGCATCTGACCACCAGTCTTGAATAGTTCGGCTTGTAACCCATCGGCACCTGCTGCTTTGTTATTCTTCAGCAAATTGATTGATATTCTGACCTCATCTTGGCTAGGTGGCATACACTCTATACCGTCATCTATTATTGGTTCTGGGGTATCCTCTTCGCCCCTACTATTTGATACCAGAAGTTTTTCAAAATGATCCTTCCAGATCCTCAGCACGCTGTCTGTATCTGTCTCCAGGTTTCCTTCTTCATCTCTACATGAGTTTGTGCCTGCACCAAAGCCTTCGGTTTGGTGTTTTACTCGTTGGTAAAATTTTCGGACTTCATTCTGACTCCTGTATATCTCGATTTGCTCACTTTTTTCTTGTTCTTTCTTCTTTTTTTCTGAAAATACGATTCTCCTCCCTCCTTTTCTCTCGATAATTCTCCATCGCATTACGTGTTGCTACTGTCTGCAGCGTTGCCCTATACGCTGCGTTTTCACATCAGTAGCATTACGACACTCCTGATCGTACCATGGGTTTCTTGATGGTGGTTTATGGTAACATCAGTATCCATATTAAGTTTTCGATTATATAGCAGCGCCAATTCTAGACTAGACGATCGTTATCACTCAGTTATTTTCTTGGAGGCTCTCTGACAGCTTATGTGATTTAGCTGTCCAATGATTGTTATTGGTTTTTCCATTATACGCAATCTGTGAATACGTTCGATAGCATTCAGCTGCTATAGATGCACACTCACGTTAAGGTTTCTTAAGATCATGTCTGATGATTTTAAATTATATTTTATATGTATTTTGTTTTCTAGTTTCAACTACATTTTTTACATTCTTACCATTCCTTGTAGGTATACGATAATTTCCAAAAATTCTTATTTTTGTAATTCCAACTGAGAGCAAAATGTTGATTTTTTTTATTTATTTCCAAGAGTAATTAAGCCTCCTAAAAATAGCTAATGTCCTGTATTGTATATACAAAAAAATAGGTATTACAATTATTTTCAAATACAAATTAAAAACTCTTAAAAAATAATGTGCAATTGCTTGTTAAACAAAGTACTTTGGTGATACAAAAAGAAAAATTAACTAATTTGTGATTTACATTAGGCGGCAATCCCATGTCTAGTGTAAATCCATACTAAATTTGAACCTAACCTATTTATTATTACACAACTACGTCGATGGTAATGGTACAAAACCGTTAATAGTTGGACTGCTACTGCTGCCACTTCCACTGCTTATTGCAGTTTTATTCGTTTTGGTTTCTTTCGTAGTATCTTCCGATTTGAGTAGGGTACCGAGTACAATACCTAGGAATAAAATTAATCCCACTTGACTATTGGAAAAGAATTTTTTGGCACAATCTGTTGCATTATCAATATTCAGGGAGTAGATCTGTAAAGAAGAGAAGAGAGAGAATAATTGTGTTAGCATGCATTTTGTAATAAATTTCTATAATAAGCTAACAATAGGAGATTAAATTAAATTAAAGCTATAAAAGTATTGTGGTTCGAAAACAACCACATCTTCGGGTTCTGCCTTCTTTAACGGTAACTAAATTTGTATACCCTTCAATCTTTTTTTAAAAGGAAACGAGATAGACACATCGTTCTTTTTCAGAATATGCATAGAATTTTTGCTTGTACGTCCGTCTGTAGATGTTAAATGTAAACAAAGTAAAGGTCGCATTTATGATCCGATTTGGGTGAAATTTGACAGAAGTCACTTATTTGGCCCAAGGACGAACCCTATTGAAATTGAAATCGGTCGCATAGTGTACGGAATTGAGTCTAAAATCACGTGTGCCAAGTTTTGAGATAATCGAGTCAGATTTATATATAGCTCCCATAAACATTTTTGTCCGATTTAAGGTAAATGGTGCACTAAAGACCCATAGCTAGGCCTAATAACCAGGAAGTAGTCTATTAATCAATATCCTCGAAAAACAGTGAACTGGTTGTCAAATATGCCATTACAAACATAAGCATATACAGCGGTGTCTCAAGAGATTAGATGCCCACATTGAACATTTTCAATAAAGAAGTTTTTTAAAAGTTCAGCCTAGAGTCACATAAATATCAAATATCAGTGGAACACTAATGCGTGGTCTATGTCATAACATGGACCTAAACAATAAAAATCCAAAACTTGACGGGATTTTTATGTTAAAATATTTGAGATGAGATTTTTGAGAAGTCTTTTTTGTATATGGATTAGAGTAGCAAAATATTGATCCGGGATTCTAGACACTTATAATAATGTCTTCTTATTTAAACTTACCTGTTGTATTAAATGACCAGCAACAATACCAACTGAAGCATAATAGGGCAACGTTTGATCACATGCCATACCGGCAGCTGTTAGCCCTGATAGCATTGCCGCTGTAAAACCCGACAACCACACCTTTGTATTATCACCAAATCTCAGCGCCGTTGATTTTACACCAATTTGTACATCATCTTTCTTATCCTGATGAGCATAGATGGTATCGTAGATAATGGTCCAACATATACCAGAAAAATACAAAGGTAAACATGCCGACCAATCGACGGTGCCTTGGGTGGCACACCAACCCAATAGGGCACCCCAATTGAATGCCATACCCAAAACCAATTGTGGCCAATAGGTTATACGTTTCATTAACGGATATGTTATGACCAAACCTAAAGAACATGCACCCAACATAATACATTCTAAATTCAATTGTAACAGCACCAGAAGACCCAAACTCAATTGGGCCGATAGAAATACAATGGCATCGAATGGTGTTATTTCACCACTGGCCAATGGTCGACTGCGGGTTCTTTCGACTTTTTTGTCAATATCACGATCCCATAAGTCGTTTATGGTACAGCCAGCTCCACGCATTATCAAAGCGCCACTGGCAAAGAGGCCTAACATATAGAGATCGGGCCAACAACCAGCATTGGCACTCAGCGCTATACTCCATGCACAGGGCCAGAATAGGAGGTAGGTACCAATGGGGCGATCCATACGCATAAGGCGTACATAAGGCGATATTGCTGTGGCAACTTGTTCTGTGAGTTTTTTGGGTGGTTCCACCATGGGAACTTTATCTTTTACACTTTGCAGTAATAAAGATGATTTGTGTAGACATCTTGGAGCTAATCTCAAATAGTTGCAGGTGGGTGCCAGTAAGTTTGTGGTATTTTGGGTCTTATGAATTCTACGCTCTTCGCTGGTTGTGGGTTGAAATTTTATACCCAAGCAGGTGGGCTTGGGTAGACGTGAATTTACTAGCAATCCTCGTAAGCTCAACATTGATGTGATTTGGTGTCAAGAGGAGAAGGAGGAAGAGAGGGTCCTGAGGGGGTTATGTCTAAAAACTAAAGAGTAAAAACATTCATTATAACAGTGAATAAGAATAAAATCCAAACATCTCACACTCACCCTTATATTAGTTTGAATGGCAAGATTTGTTTTGTTTTCTTAATATTCATTAAAACTCGTTTCTTCTCTTTTTACTGCTTTTTATGGCTAATTCAGATTCGCAAATTCTCAATTGATCATCCGATTCATTTGACATATGAGGTTTTGTGAGGGTCAAGGCTTATCAGATCGTTTCTTTTTTGCATTGACACCGTTTGAAATTATGGAACTTATCGTGTTTTTGTGTATGTGGAGGCGGGTGTTATTTATCCATTTACCGTTATTTATTTGCTTGTAATACTTTTCTTTAATTAATTACTTTAACTTATATAATTTTTGTTCTTGTTCTAAGTGTAGAACTAAAACATTTTATTTACACCAGCGCATGGTACAATAACACTGGCACCCAACAACACGAACGTATGACAGTATCAGCTGTTTTGTTATGTTCTGCTTCTTCTTCTTACTTTGAAAGATATCAATGCAATTAAAGCGTTGTTTATACGTACATCGGTAAGGTATAATTCCATTGAATTGGTATTGAACAAAGATTGAGGTTAGGGTTGATCAATTGCAAATTTACGAATCGAAAAAAAAAACAACTAGAAAGGAAACAAATTATAATAAATAGTAGAATTAAAAACGCATCTTGGCATTATAAAGGGTGAATGTGAGATGTTTGGAGTATATTGTGATTTACGTTACAAAGAATGATTTTTTTGCCTTTTAGGCAGGAACTTTCGCCCCAGTATAAAGAATGCGATGTAACACCATTCGAAGCCAAAGACATAAAAACCGTAAAGACTCGACAAAATGCATTTTGACAAAATAGTTTATGAAAACACATCCAGGGGGAATCATGCATAACAGAGGCATGTTAACAATAAAAACGCCAATACGCGATAATGTGTTTAGAAAATGCAAATAAAATCAGAGATCTGCACTTAAAATATATTTTTGTATTTAATAAGCTTATTGTTCTCTCTGTTGTTATGATATCGTAACAACAGAGGAAAAGCCATCTATTGGAAATTGTTGACGTATCGATTGCCCTATCTTTATACTTTTATGTCTTTGTCGAAGCCATCGGCCCAATTGAGTTTTGGTATTTGTAGTGGAGTTTTGACATTTGTTTTTTTTTTAATACATAGATTTCTCCGACTATTCATTCACCGGCTTTTTATCCATATGGTTAGACTCCTATTACTTGTGTACTAAATAAAAAAGTGGTCGATCACACAATTTTTGTGTCGAGGAAGAGTAGAGTTCCTGTTTGTATGTCTTCCACGTGAACTGATACCGTTGGGCAACTATGTTTGTATCACTGAAATTGGCTTGAGCTACCTTTTGTCACTTATCTTTGTATCTAAATATTTGCAGATAATTTTAATTTCTCTGTTAATTCTAATAGTTTATCCTACAACCATATGTTAGCGTGCTACAACTAGTCACAGCTAGATGGCGCTGTATCGGAATATTTGTTCGGGCTGAATTTCGCATATGTAATGGCTAATTTTTTGACAGATTTTTATATAAAGGCTGATGGACGGACGAGACAGACATGCATAAATCGACTCAGAAAGTGATCATGTACATATTCTCAAAAAGAACATATCGCTCATTTGCTGCAAGAGAGGCATAACTCAAAAAAAAAAAAAAAAAAGAGCTATGTGTATGTACTCAGATTGGCGAAGGGAACAAAAATGCTGAAAATCTTTATTTGAATCGATAGTACCCGTTAAGATTTTCGGTATTTTAAAGGGTTAAACATATTCCAAAACAAGAGTTGCTCCAGTCAAACCCATTTCCATTCCACGACTAGGTCTATGTGAGGCTGTCCTCCTGGCGGAAATGATTGATTCTGTGCTTCCCATGCTAGACATTTCCAATTATTCCTTGTCCTGCTGGACAGAATCCACAATAGTTCTTTCCTGGCTTTCCAAACCTCCAGGTAATTGACTGTCATTTGTGGCTAATATAGTTTCCACGATAGTGCAAGTGGTGTATCCTTCCAGATTTCATCACATTCCTTTCGAATCCAATCATGCTGATCTGGCAAGCCGAGGCCTGCTGCCACAAGATATCGTTGATAACGATCTTTGGCTTTCCGAAACTTCCGTTAAATGACCAGATTATGTTCCTATCCAAGATACTAGCGTATCGCCGACTCCACTGATATTCTTGAAGATTTCTTCTAGTGGCTCGAAATTTATTGATCAAATGGTATCAGAAGTTTCATTTTCCTAATAAATACAAGTTTCATACAGAGTCTAAATCCGTTTCTGGACTCAGATGGTTTAATCCGTTTCTGTGAAACGCTTAGATTATTCTCCAGGTATTCCGTACGACGAAAAGCGCCCAAATATTATTCCATACAATTCTAAATTCTCCGGCTGTATGTCGAATTTGTCCATAAAATCACTATACATGTTGGTAACCAAAGACCAAAGAACGAGTCTTTGGGTCATACGATCTCAATTATGGGGAATTCTGCGGGAAAACGCTGATTAAATTGCTGCTTTCGAAAATAAAAGATTTGCGGACTTGAAAATATTCTACCCTCGGTTTGATGCGGAAAAAAGGAATAGGTATAAAACAAATATATTTGTTTTTGGGAAAGAACAATTGTGGTTTATTAATTTCAAATCGGAACTTAGCAATGACGAACAATTGTGATTGCAGGTTGGCAGAACAGTGATTTATTAAATATAAAAGAAAATTTGAAAAGCCCACAGAGATGACACAAACGGACATGCGCTCGAAACTTAGATTATGTAATTAGGGTGAACAGACTTGTAAATTTAGGGTATGTTAACAAAAGGTTTTTGAAGGTTTGAAGAAATCTTTGCAAAAATATTTCGATATCGGTCTATGTTATATTTATATATAAGATTCTATATGATATTTGACATTTCTGGTTCATAGGTGTATTACACGACCGTAGTGACTGTAGATAGGCATTCCGGGTTTTTGATGGATACAAATGTTCTACCCAGATATGTTTTAATATAGCACCATTTCAAATAGGTCTCATACAAATGTCTCGTCCCGTTCTTAGGTCTTTATGGTCCTAGGCCAATTTTAAAACCGAAGTGTCTATAACTGGCATTTTGAAACAGGCCACAGTTTTTTTTTTGTGTTTTAAGTTATTGGCCCGCCTCCCGATTGTCGAGTGTTAACAGCGCCACCACCACAGGCCACAGTTACATATCAATCTTCACGAAATTTTGCATGTATGATGGATTCTGGTCAATGAATACCCCTATTGTTTTTGGTAAAGATCGGTTAATATTTAGGGGATGAAATGGAGCAAAACTTTATTTTTGTATGATTTTCTGGCCGCTCCAGAGGCTGCAATTATGACCCAAACATCGCGAATTCTTACAGGGAGAAGGGGATCGGGCCAAAGAATAAGCATGTCTGTTTTGATAAAGATAGGTCAATATTTAGCGGGTCAAATGGACCCTGAATTTTGTGTGGAAAAAATTACAAAATGTGTATTCTATAGCGTATATATTTACCACTGAAGGACATAGACCCGAGAAGTTGATAGTATATTCAAGAGGAATGGTTGACCTTTAAATTGATACCAAATAATTAGAAGGGCTCTACTGAATATTAGTAATAATTGTTGACTTCTAGTCGGTCAGGATGGTGCAAATATCCCGAACTATTGCCCAAGCTCAGAATATAGAACCACAGAAATTTAGATTTTCGTGGAAGTTGTGTATCATATGACCGGCCCGTCCGACTATACTGCTCCGCTCACTGGTTAATATTTAGGGGGTACTTAGATACGAAACCAAAATATTAGGTGCGAGATTTAGCTATATCGGTCCTCAGTAATATAGTAATATAGCCCCCTATACAATGATAACTCCAATTGTTCGGTATTTCCTACACGATGTATAGTAGTATTTTGAGGATTTTAAATACATGTTGCACCCTACCATGTTTTTGGCAATGTAATATTTCTGGTCATCAGTAGTTTACAACATATCTTTGAAGGACATTGCTCTATATAAATATCCCACCGGTTTTGTTTACATCGAAAGTTTTCACCACACTTCCCAAGGTGATTCGCTATAGAATAAATTTTGTTGCGTAAACCAATGCTAATTCAAATCTGAAAATACAATTTTTTTCACTTCCCTGTTCCTTTCAATATAAAGCCTGCCATAAACAGATAATTAAATTGTTATATTGTATAATTTTCGTAATTACTGCCTTAGGGCCCCCGAACATTTACCAAATACGATAAACAGAATTCGGTATAACTTTGTGGTTGCTTGTGCCCGGCACCCGTCCTTTATTTGTTTAGCATTTTTGTTTGTTTGTGTCGTCTCGGAAAATGTAACAAAATTTGATTAGGCAGTTCAGAGTATCATCTCACAAGGATGCTACCCTGCAGAAACACACAAATGTACTGGACAAGAGATGCCCTGAGGCAAATTTTAAAGCAAATATCTGGCATTTTTTTTTTTTTCAAAAGTGTCAACAACAGTTTTAGGTAGCAGGGATGTTCCTTATTTGTGGGGTATTTTGTTACAAAAAGGACAATGACACAGTTGTTAATACATTTTGATTTTTTTTATTAGAGAGATTTAAATGAATTTGTTTTTGATTTCAGTTTTTTGTTAAAGACATCATGTTCAATGATTGTTTATTTGAATCGTTGATGGAGGGTAGGAAAATAACATTTTTCCTAATCGGTAAGGTCTATTAGTTCATAAAAAGATGGTCAAACACCCTTAAACAATACTAATTGCCAACCTATTCACTAAATATTAAAAAAAAACTGATTTACAAGGGCCCAACACATCTAATCTATATGCTAATTTTCCTTATCCCAAAAACAAATTCCGAATGGTGTCTCAATCTCAATTTTGGAA